CAAAAATAAATTCCGATGAAATTCAGTTAAATAACGAAAATTCTTTGTTTTCTTTTTCTTTTATCGCATTTGATCCCTTTTTTTTATTTTTCACTCTATTGTCAGAAAGTCCAATAATTGAGGGCGGTCCCATTAAAAGTCAAACATCAAAGATTTTGAATAAATTAATGAATATTTCGTTTTCTCCTTTTCTTGTTTTGCTTTTAATTCAAGTTCTCTTTTCTTTAATTTTGATGYCAAAATTGATGATATCCGAGGCCCCACTTCAGTGTCAGTCGTGGAGCGTAAAAGAACCACGCCCAAGCCCATCTSCATCTTGCTGTTCAGCAGGCGGCCGTCCCGAAAACAAGCTAAAGTCGCCGGTATTGAGATAGACGCCGCCGCGGTAAGGTAGTCCTTCTTATCAATTTCGAGAGCTAGTCTCAACGGTCGTCATATCCAATCTTAGGGGTACTCGGGGTGCCCCTAATTTTTGCTGCATGGTCAAACCAGAGTACCGTCATTGCACGGACTTGTCTTTGAGCTAAGTCCCTAAACCGTAGATTTCAGGCGGCGCACTGCTTGTGGCCGCCTGACAACGTGTCAGTGTGCTCCCTTGAGCCATCGCGAAGATGCGGTTGATGGCGAGCGCAGGCGCGTCATCCACTATGAACCGCTTCTTCCATTCCTTTGTCATATGCGCCCAGGAGACCTTCTTGTGTAGGTCTGAAACCTGGACGTCGTGGATGGTTGCCATGTGGCTGAGCCAGATCTAACATCCTCCCTTGGTGTTGATGAACAGAGCAGTGATGAACAGATGGTCAGGGACCTCGTGGATCCCCAACTCCGTTGTAAATCCTTGCCACCAGACGACCGGGTCTTGATGTGTGTAGTCATCAAATTTCTCGATCCGGAACGTCGGCATCTTGTATGGCCTTGCCGAGCTGTTGTTGTGGTTGTGGTCGGTCTGCTGTTGCTGATTTATCTTAGTGTCCAGCAACTCGAACAGCTGGCTGATGGTGGCCGGCTCTGTGAAGGCACTTATGTCTCCTAGCATTGCCACTACATGGTCAACGCGTTCCTCCAGTTGGCGGCTAGAGGATGCACTGCTGGAAGCCCCAGCATCTGGTCTTGGTACAGCCTGTTCCAGGTCCAGTACACGGGCGTCCAGTGCCCGTGTGGCATCCTCATGCTGAGTCTTATGGTTCCGCACAGCCCTCTGAAGGTTTGCCAGCTCGAACTGCAGGTGGTTACATATGTAAACCAGCCTGGTCACGAGCTTGGCCATGAACTCCTTATGCTTCTCTTCCGGTGTTGGTTCGTTGCCGTTCGGTTCAAAGTGCCAGAACTTGAGTCTGTCGATGCTGTTGGCTTCATGCCGCAGCAGCAGATCCTGGACTTCCTTGCGGCGAGCCTGGGTATCTGCGTCTGCTTCGGCCTGTAGCCGCAGCTTCTCTGCTGTTGCTGCTTCTTGAGCCTCTAGCTGGGCAGCCTTGACTGCCAGCTGGCATTGTTCCTCAACCTCGATTGCAGCGAGCTGAGCCTCGAAGCGTTTTCTGTAGTCGGCAATGGACTCATTGGCCAGTTGGCCTGACATGCCCAAAGCTGCGCCCGTCATGGTGGCGGGGCACTGCTGACGTGGCACTGTGTCTGACGTGGCACTGCTAACGTGGCACTGTGTCTGACGTGGCACTGCTTACGTGGCACTGTGTTTGACGTGGCACTGTTGACGTGTCACTGTAGCTGACGTGTTATTGTTGATGTGGCACTGTTGACGTGTTACTGTACCAACCCGGAAAATGTATGCAAAGGGTGGGTGGGAGGTAACACGCAGGTAGGAAACCAACCCAACAATACTTTCCTCCGACCCTAATCAACAGATAAAATAAAATAAAAAAATAAAAGAGGACTACTTTTTTTTTTTTTTTT